CCCTGCCTCGCCCCCACCCCACCAGACGGACACTTACTGAAAGACATTTTCCGCGTTATCCATGGCGAGAGGACGCGGGCCCGCAGCACCCCAACTTGCGTCGCGAGCGGGGAGCCGTCGCCAATTCGAATCTCCCGCGCAGCCGCAGACGGCGCGCAGAGCGTTTGCAAGGCGCCCGGCCATTGGCCTCGGCTGCAGACGGACTGGCTAATCACCGGAGCCGTTGCTGGGAGACCAAGTCCCGCCTCCCCGTCGCGCGCCCGTAGCTCTTCCCACTTCCCGTAGCTTGGGTTGAAGCAGGAAGTCGCGACCGGCGGAGCGCGGCCTGGTTTCGGGACTGTGGCTCGGCAAGGGGCAGCTGGCTTGGCTCCGGCGTGGGGAATTGGTGGGAGGTTTTTTTGTTTGTTTCTTTTTTTAGCTCTCCAAATTGTAACTGGTTTACATAATTACACGGTTAAGCCATCATCCCAGGGAAGGCATCACAGGAGAAAAATAGGTCCCTGAGACAGAAATACTGTGCCTCAGCCCTTGCGTCCTGAGAGTCGCGCCTCTTCGTATCCTTTGCTTAAATATATAAACCGGAATCATAACTTCTGGTTCACGGAACGAAGAAAAATCCTGTTATAGAGTCGAGACTGTCGTTGCGGAAGACCGCACAGCCCGGAGAAACTTCGGCCTGTGGTTTAGGAAATAGGCAGGGAGAGAAAACGGAACCCAGCTGAGGGGACACCGCCCATTTCAGGCAGTCTTGTATTCAGCATCCGGGGCTGTAAGGAAAGAACCCAGAGGCTGCAGCCAAAGAAGTCTTGGTCCTAGACTAAAGTGCTATGGCACAGAGTTAGGGAGAGATTCATCGACGACGACCCGTCGAAAAACCTAAGCAGGTTTTGGTGTAGGACTACAGTGTGAGCGCATTTCGGGAGGCGCTCGAGGGTTGGTTGCATTAATTATACATGGCACATGCAGGTGATGCGTTGGTACCCTTGTGGACCTCTGGGCTTAATTTAACTGATCTGAAAGGCTGTGTGCGGGTTCCCTGGAGGGAATGAGGGCTTCAAAGGATTGGGGCTGTTCCTACATCCAGCTGGTAATTAAAATAAGTACCGAAGGGGCCTGCCCGTGGCGCACTGGAGAGTGCGCAGCTTGGGAGCGGGGCGGCGCTCCCAGGGAGGGTTCGGATCCCATGTGGAGACCGGTTCCCGCTCACTGGCTGAGCGTGGTGTGGGTTGCGATCCCGTTGCCGGTCAGTAAAAAAGACAAAAAGGAAAAAAAAAAGTACCGAAGAGTTTGAGTAGATTATAAAATGCCAGTGAGAAAGCTCTTTTGTGGGACTGGGCATTCTGTAGACCAAGTTCTTAGGAATCATGAAATCAAAAATAAGAGACCTCTTTGTAGAGAAGTCCAGATTCTAACAAGAAATACATAATATGCCGATGCTTCCTGAGAGTGAATTGCAAAAGAGCTTAGCCTTCTCTGCTCCTTGGTCTTTAATAACGTCCCACTCTACCTCTCAAGGTTGTTTCAGGGGCTAATTGACAATAAAGAGCTGTTCATGTGATTACTTTCCCTTTAGAAAGAAGTTGTGTGGATGTTTCAGCTCCCTTAGGCCTCTTAAATACCTAAAAAAACTATTTAACAGCTTTTGGAAATCTCAACACTCAGAGTCCAGAATTCTTCTAGCATGTTGGTTGATTTAGATCTACACGAGTATCTGATTTGTGGGATTTATTACTCAGAGGGTGCTCGCTCTGGGGTCCTGTGACAAGAGCTAGGTTCTACCAACCATCAGAGGAACTAAGACATTTTTGGTCCCAACAACTCAAGTTTTCAGCTGTGTGTGATAGTGGCTCAATCAATAATCAATTAGGAAATGTTTGAGTATCCATCACAAACTAGGTGCTGTTGAACTTATACTTTGTTCAACTCAAACAGAACCTGTCCTTAAGAAACTACTGGTTTTGTCTGGGACATGAATATACAGACATAGAAAATTGTTTACAGATAGTATATATGTGTATTAAAAGACAAATGAGAGTCCAGACTATGGTTGGGTGTGAATTGGGCCTTGAAGAGGGTGGTGGTGGAGAGTTCACAGGAGGTCATTCCAGGTGTAAATCAGCATTATAGAAGGAGAGCACCCATGATGACACACGTTAATGAGTAGTAGAAATTCTTTTTTAAAAGACTGGTTTGATATTTTTATGTCAAATCTTGAAATGCTAGATAAATGAATTTGTACATGCTCAGGTTAGNGGGTTGCGATCCCGTTGCCGGTCAGTAAAAAAGACAAAAAGGAAAAAAAAAAGTACCGAAGAGTTTGAGTAGATTATAAAATGCCAGTGAGAAAGCTCTTTTGTGGGACTGGGCATTCTGTAGACCAAGTTCTTAGGAATCATGAAATCAAAAATAAGAGACCTCTTTGTAGAGAAGTCCAGATTCTAACAAGAAATACATAATATGCCGATGCTTCCTGAGAGTGAATTGCAAAAGAGCTTAGCCTTCTCTGCTCCTTGGTCTTTAATAACGTCCCACTCTACCTCTCAAGGTTGTTTCAGGGGCTAATTGACAATAAAGAGCTGTTCATGTGATTACTTTCCCTTTAGAAAGAAGTTGTGTGGATGTTTCAGCTCCCTTAGGCCTCTTAAATACCTAAAAAAACTATTTAACAGCTTTTGGAAATCTCAACACTCAGAGTCCAGAATTCTTCTAGCATGTTGGTTGATTTAGATCTACACGAGTATCTGATTTGTGGGATTTATTACTCAGAGGGTGCTCGCTCTGGGGTCCTGTGACAAGAGCTAGGTTCTACCAACCATCAGAGGAACTAAGACATTTTTGGTCCCAACAACTCAAGTTTTCAGCTGTGTGTGATAGTGGCTCAATCAATAATCAATTAGGAAATGTTTGAGTATCCATCACAAACTAGGTGCTGTTGAACTTATACTTTGTTCAACTCAAACAGAACCTGTCCTTAAGAAACTACTGGTTTTGTCTGGGACATGAATATACAGACATAGAAAATTGTTTACAGATAGTATATATGTGTATTAAAAGACAAATGAGAGTCCAGACTATGGTTGGGTGTGAATTGGGCCTTGAAGAGGGTGGTGGTGGAGAGTTCACAGGAGGTCATTCCAGGTGTAAATCAGCATTATAGAAGGAGAGCACCCATGATGACACACGTTAATGAGTAGTAGAAATTCTTTTTTAAAAGACTGGTTTGAGGGCCGGCCCGGTGGCACACTGGATGTGTGTGATAGTGGCTCAATCAATAATCAATTAGGAAATGTTTGAGTATCCATCACAAACTAGGTGCTGTTGAACTTATACTTTGTTCAACTCAAACAGAACCTGTCCTTAAGAAACTACTGGTTTTGTCTGGGACATGAATATACAGACATAGAAAATTGTTTACAGATAGTATATATGTGTATTAAAAGACAAATGAGAGTCCAGACTATGGTTGGGTGTGAATTGGGCCTTGAAGAGGGTGGTGGTGGAGAGTTCACAGGAGGTCATTCCAGGTGTAAATCAGCATTATAGAAGGAGAGCACCCATGATGACACACGTTAATGAGTAGTAGAAATTCTTTTTTAAAAGACTGGTTTGATATTTTTATGTCAAATCTTGAAATGCTAGATAAATGAATTTGTACATGCTCAGGTTAGTAACTGGGTCTTTTAGGAGCAAATAAGCGTTGTGATCCTAAGGACCTCATGATAGTTACACTTAGCTCTACCCTTTTTCTGAAAGCCACAGAGATTGTCTATCCTCCTTCACCTTTGCTAGTAGGGGTTCATCTCCCACCAGGCTTATTTATGGTTAAGGGATTTTGGATGTTCTTCCACACTGCCCCTAAAAAAGGCATATTGACCCCTTGTGAAGCCCTGATGCCAATTACGGTGTGTATCCAGGAGTAATAGAAATAAAATACTAGGATTTTCAGTAGTGATTATAAACTGACATTTTTCTAGGAATAATTCCTTAGTTTACTCAATGACTTAATGGAAGTCCTCCTCTGTCATTATTCTTGTACTGATCCTCCCACATGATGTATTCATCTTAATATCCCTATTAGGTTAATTAACCTGTTGGTGTTCAGGATTAATTGGGGACAGGGAGAAGGATGGGCAGTATAGGCAGAGAACAGTAATTGGCAGACTTTAAACTGGCATTGGAGACAGAGGGAATGGGAGGTAAAGAAGGGAATCAGATCTCATGGAAGGAGAGTTCGGAACACCATTATGTCTTCAATATGTAAGAAAATGAAAAGAATCAAAGATAATTGGGGACCTAGGGAAATTGACAAAGCAGGCCATTGGAACTGGGGAAGGCTGCTACTCTGTTTTTAGATGAGTTGAAGGGGTTACCAGAATTTTGTCCTTCTACACAACAAGACTAGGCACAGTAGGAGGAAGACAGAGACAGATATTGTTCATAGGCTTAAGGAGTTTATTGAAAGAAATCTCGTGCTGTTTTCTAAGCCTAGAATGATTCTTTTCTTCTAAGAGCTTCACATTATCCATACATACCAGGAATAAATGAACCTCAGAGTAGTTTGATGAAGAAAATCCATAAACACTGAAGTACTGGCAGTTTACATAATTAAGTATAAGCAGAAAATGCCAAAGGGCTGTGATGGAGTTTGAATGTGTTGTCCCCTTCAAAACTCATGTGGAGATTTGATCCCCAATGTGGCAGTGTTGGGAGCTGTTTGAGTCATGGGGGAAGATCCCTCATGAATGGATTAATGCTCTCCCTGGGGGAAAGCGGCCTGAGTGAGATCTCACTCTGTTAGTTCCCACAAGAGCTGGTTGTTTAAAAGAGCCTGACACCTCCCCTCTCTCTCACTTGCTTCTTCTCACCATGTGATCTGCTTGTACCCACCAGCTGCCTGCCGCTTTCCGCCATAAGGAGAAGCAGCCTGAGACCCGTGCCAGATGCAGCTGTTCCAGAATCATAAGATAAATAAACCTCTGTTCTTTATATTTTACCCAGTCTCAGGTATTCTGTTATAGCAACACAAAATGGACTAATACAGAGGTGTTGAAGTCTCAAACTGTTATTGTAATGAGATCTATCTCTCCCTTTCAGTCTAGTAATAATTGCTTTATATATCTGAGTGCTCCAATGTTGGGTACATATATATGATTGTTATATCCTCTTGCCAAATTGATCCCTTT